AAACAAACACTTATTTGAGACTTAGGAGTTGTTGTTATTTTTTGTTGTGACAGCCTCCTGGTAGCTCAGTCATAAGGTGAGAGCTTATAACAGTAAAATTTCTGGTTGAATACTCGCGGTGAGCGCAGCACAGCTACTTGCCTCCCCTGGGAAATTAGAAATATAATTCTTTCTTTAATGTATCTAATTCGCTTCTAAATTTACTAATGTTTTCCATTTGTACTTCTTGCCACCGTTGTTGACTTTCCTGTAGTTGCTGCTGACTTTCCTGCAACTGTTGGAGACTTTCTTCCTGTTTTCTTTCTTGTTCTAGTTGCCACTGCTGTAATCTCTCTTCTTGTTTCTTTTCTTTTTCCTCCAACAACTGTTGTAATCTCTCTTCTTGTTTATTTTGTTGTTCGAGCTGCCACTGTTGCAGGTTTTCTTGCAACTGCTGTTGTCTGTCTTCTTGTTTATTTTCTCGTTCTTCTTGTTGCTTTTGCTGTTCTTGTATTGCTGCCATCAAGTCTGCTAAGCTGTAGTTTGATTTTCCGCCTCTCGTTTCCATATTCGTTTGTTTTTTTATTTTCTATCCCACTTCTGACACCAATTTGTTACGTCTCTGGTCGTTAGTTAATTTTCCGTAAAAATTCTTTCCGAAGAAACTTTAGCGATACAAGTCCTTTCTTAAATGAAACTGGTTTATTCTTTCTGAATACAACTTTGCAATACACTTAATTTTGACAGTCACGCTATAACAAACGCTATAATTCATAACGAACGACTCACGTGCCCGACTCAACAATACGTCTCTCTCTGTCCGCAGTTCTTGCCGTCAGTTCTTATTGGTCTTATATGTACAAGAATACCGCATATCTAGTAACCTCCCGAGACTTCAGGAAGGGACAGGATCCTTCTAGATATTCATGACGTGTTACTAGCGTCACGTGACTTCCGCTGTCGTAACAATATAATGCTTATAACCACTTAATAATCACAATAATTCAGCTAAGTGATATTGTTAAACCGACAAGGTACTAGATAAATTCTCTGATTAGCTAATTTTTTTTTTATGAATAAACAAAATTGTCTTGTATGTTTAACGGGGAAAATAGGACTAATTTACTAATATTTTCATTACTCGAGCATAATCATACAAGATATTAAATGTCACTGGAATCTTATTGTGATTCCTGCTGCTACCTGATTGTATAAACAAAAATATATAACGCAGCTAATGCTAATTAGAATAATATTTCCTTTTGTTGTTGTTGTTGTTAATACAAGCAATAGAATTTTACTCCACATGTATTTTGAGTTATGTACGTTCTAAGGAACAGCGGTAAGTCGATAAAAATGCCTTAGACGAGAGAGCATTTGGTAATCTTTATGGAAAGAGATAAAATTAAAAATATATGTACTAAGATACTATTTCAACAACTCAAACGAACAATCAAGTATTTATTGCTTTTCACTCTCTCTCCCTTTAACTAATTAGTGGGTTTTTTGCTTAAATTTGTAGGAAAATAAAAACTACTATTTTTATGTCTCATTTCCCAAATAAATATTGTAATACAGAACTGATTAAAAAGAAACATTACGACTCGTTTCTAAGCATTTTCCAGCATATATCGCCGTTAAAATAAGTAAGATATAAAAAAGCTATTAAGTTATTATTATTATTATAAGTACACTGTAACGGGTATCTGTGAAATTTGTGTATTCCTTGTATGGTAACAAATGCTAATACTTAACCTGGGAAGTTGCGGGCTATATAAATGGTTAAGCTAAAAAAATATCTAGAAAACATTTAGGTGAATATAAGAAAAACACAAAAGCAAATATAACTTTTATATTAATTTTGTTTGAAATTTAAAATTACGTTTAAAGAAACTTTTTTCGATGTAATCACAAATCGTTTTTTTTAAATAAAATGTATTTTAACGATTTATCAGTATTTTGTTTTTATAAAATTCCTTCGAAAATGTTCCGAGGTCCTAACGTCCTGGCGCAGATAGCCTAGCTGCTTTGCGCCATAAAACACCAACCAACCAACCTAACTTCCTAGTGTCCCCCTACGGTTCAGTGGCAGGTGTACGAAGCGCAGATAGTCCAGTGTTTAGCTTTGCGTTAAAAAACAAACACAATAACATCAATCTTAAAAACTCAGTTTTAAAAAAACAACGATTATTTTATACACAATTGTCTAAAAATGAGATTGTTTTCAGTCTCCAAATTACTAAAATACAGTAACTTACTGTACAGGATAAAAAGTGGTAAAAAACCCATAAAAAGGCATTTAGCAACATTAAATAACTACATATATATATTTCTACCTATTTTATAGCCGCAATTATATTGTTGCGTCAT